GCGTTGAATTTTCATCGATGTTAAGCCTAACAAAAATTTTTTAAAATAATAATCGTCGCTATTGTATCGTTAAAAATTAGAAAATTAAGCCTCGTTTAAATACTGGCTCCCTTTCATGGTCGAATGAGTGTTGCCAGCTAAAACACGTAAAAATAATATTAAAGTAGCCAAGACATAGCCAAATATTGTAGCGCCACATCACTAGCGGACATTTGAAATTTGCCGAATAGGACGGTCGGATAATCGAGGCTCTACTGTACCTAAATTATTTGAAAGAATGAAAAACATACTAAAAAGAAAATTGACTACAAGAATAAAAGAGCACATACGTGCAATAAGGGGTAATTATGCAAATTCTGCAGTAGTTATGGGTGCCAAATTGACAAAAATACTATAAAAATTAAGAAAAAAAGAATCAAATAATTATAAAAGTGAATTATACGAACATTTACACATAAAGAAATAAATAAATAGAACAAATAATAATTTAGGTCGTATAATCCACCAATCTTGGAGCGCCATACTAGATGACGTTTATAAAAAAAGCATAGTTAACTGTCTTCTTTTCGTGACAAATGAAGCCTTGATTTTCTTACGTGATGTTGTTTGATTTTAATAGTTTACAGCCTTTAATTAATTCGAAATTGGAATATGTATTTACAGTAAGTTTATTGGTTAAAGAAAAATTTTTTAAATTATACAGTAACTTGTTTGTTGTTGTTACTTTTAGTGTTAAGTGGTAATACTGCTGATGAGGGGCATGCTAGCCCGAAACACGTATAATATGTGTACAGAAATTATTACTATAGGCGATATAATAAAGAAATTTTGTTATTTCCTGAAATAACTCTCGGTACTGTGCCAATTTTTAGACACCAGTATAATCCCTATTAAAAAGTAAAGTCCAAGTAGACAATTAACAATAAAATACGTATCAAGAAGACTTCAGAAGCACGGCTTCAGGAGACATGTCAAGTCTGATGTTTGTCGTGTTTGCTGTCCATTGTGTTCTCAGGAGTCTTCGTCTAGTTTCTTCCGCTTGTGTTACCTAAGTACTGTATGTAAGCTTTCGGAATCGTAACAGGGAATACAAGGGATCTAATTAATCTTATCTTTGTCTTAATGGTTACATCCTTGTCCTTCAGAGTAGAAAAGAATTTAATGTGCAATTGTTTAAAAATGCATATTTATTTCAAAATTAACTTAACAATTCGGTAGAAAAATTAAATTTTATTATATTTCATACAGTTAATAACATACATTGTATTCTTAATATAGTCATACATACGAATTAAAACTTTACGCTACGGAGTGACCAAATCAATAATCGAAGGAATAGGAGAATTAGACACGGCTATACTTAACATTTTTCGAATGATATCATCCACATAGGTTCGAAATTTATTTAAAATTTTCTTGGACAAATTATCCATTACAAAACTATCAAACAACCTTCCACCTTTATCTTCAAAGTCCTTCATATCAAACCAATATTTATTAATATCTATTATGGATAAATTCGAAAGGTAAGGCGTTAGTCGTGTTTCGTTGGCCGCGATTTTCATGGACAAAGTAACTGGGTATATGTAAAATCCCATGGTAAAATCGACAGGTTGATGATCCTCGATGCTAAATACTCCGTGGCACTCGATGGGCTCGGTGTCCAGAGTAATTACACATTCGATATTAAACTCTCCCGGGTTGGAAGTGACATAAGGTTTCAAACAGTCGTCTTTTCTGTTAAGTTCGGGAGGATTTGGCATCCTACAACTGAGAAATCTTATAGTTACCGACGATTTTATCCAGTAATCTTTTAAAGGAAAGTAAGATAATCCTTCAGGATTTACTAGATCTGGTATCATTTTCTCGATAATTTCGTCTACAAATTCGTCGCTGTCTTGGACAAATGACGAAAAGATTCCTTCTATAGATTATAAGAAAGATTAATTTTTGTAAATACAGGGTGATTATAAAGTCTCGATCCATTTTTGCAAGTCGTGCGAAGTATGCTGATCCAATAGAAGGGAATCGCTGTAGATTGCGTATGTTTGAGATGATTAACATACAGGACACTACCATCAAATCCGCCTGTTCAGTAGCCTTCAAGAGATGACAAATTGCATGCCAGGTGGCATAGTCGTTTTCTGTTTCAGCCGGTTGTAGTCGGTTGAAACGATCAAAAACAACGGCGATTCTCTTCTCTTGGTGAAGCACGTTTCACCAATGGAAACAAAGATGGATCTAGACTTTCTACTCATCCCTTATGGTAAGAAGAGAGTAAGATGCACTTACCGACGGTTGAGAGAATGAAGATGCAGGCGACAATCTTCTTCATCTTAATTAGCTCAGTACGAAAAAAGACAACAAAGCGTATGATGATCCGCTTGCTTTATATTAATAATATATTTTCCATTATAGAAATTTGAACACATTAAATGATACAAATTACAAAACACGGGGATTCGTTTCAAATTAGTATTTTAAAGTATCAAAATAAAATGTGATGAAATAAAATAATTTTTATGTAAATTTATACCACAGATATGTGGAATAAATCGACACAATAAAATAATAGTGACACTTTAAAGGAATTTTTGTAGGTATGAAGCTAAAATTTAAATGAATTTTAAGATATTTTGAACGGGTTTTTAACGTAAAACAAGTATTAAATTATAGGATATATTCCGCACTGCTGCCTATAGAACAGCTGACGGAGGAGGCTCGAGAAGCTCGCGATAAATATTTTAAAATGTACATAGAACATTGCGCCAGAAAACAATATTTTAAACTTGTGTTTATTGAGTTCGGATCTTGTAACCACCAGCAAGCAAAGATTTCAAAAGGATATTTGTTAAGTTATGGCAACGCAACGCTTGGGCGATCTGCCTAGGGGAGATGCGTTCCGGGAGGTCTTTTTTAAGGAAAACTGGCCCCTATTTAGAACGGGCTGGCCACGTGAAAAATTCCACGTGGCCAGCCCGTTCTAAATAGGGGCCAGTTTTTCAAAATTCAAAATTTCACGTGGCCAGCTCGTCCGAGCAAGGCGCGAATCCAAGACCGAACTGCCAGTGTTCAGGGTACAAAGACCGCTTGGCCACTGGTGGGCACTTCAAAAGAATAAATGGCAAAATTTTCCTAAAGAAGCGGTAGACTTATTAAAATCTTCACTCACACGTGCCTCTATTCATCAAAATATTCGTAATGATGATAGAGTTAATAAATGGGTGCATTTGCATTTTCTCTGTTATATTTTATTAAATATCTTTCACGTTATAATGAGAAAACCATAGCTTATCCTCTGATGCATTTATATAACTATATAAAGGCAAACTTTCTTTTTAAAAATATTTTTTTAACTTTAACAGTACATAAAGTATGCTATACAATTTTACTCGATTCAGTACAGTGAGAAATATTACATGGGATGAAATAAAATAAAAAAACAAAAAATAAATTAAAAATAAAAAGAAATCTAGCAACGAGTTGCGTAACTTTCCCGGCTTTTATGAGATTTCATTTAAAAAATAACATTTGTATTATTAATCAAAATAAATAACTAAAATTGTATGTGGCGCCATCTGGTATGAGATTTTATTATAAAAACTTTATATATTTTAAATTATTATAAAATAACATAAGAATTTTGAGGATAGAGATGATTCTCATAAAACACTGTAAATGCTAACAACGAGTAAAGTTGTCATTAATTTAAAGTTGTTGAGGAAAAGAAAGATTGATTAAAAAAAAGAAATTATCGACTAAACCGTTCAATAGATGGCGTGAGAGTAAAGTGCAAATTAGAGAGCCTATGACGAGAGTGGCCGTATAAGAAACGCTTTTCTATTGGCAGTTTGTGGTCACGTGGTCTTAAGCCGCCATTATTCTTCCAAATACGTGTTAGCAGAAGCTTTGTGGATCAATATTATCGTCTCTACATTCGCTGTCTGCTAACAAATTAAAATTAATCAAAGGTAAGTGATATTAAGAATATATTATTTTATATTTGGATGATATATTTATTCGTAAAAGAGTACAAACTGCCTAAAATTTAAATGAAATTTATAAATGACATTTGTATTATTAATCAAAATAAACAACTAAAATTGTATGTGGCGCCATCTGTTACGAGATTTTATTATTAAAACTTTATACATTAATTATGTATAAAGTTTTTACAATAAAATCTCGTAACAGATGGCGCCACATACAATTTTAGTTGTTTATTTTGATTAATAATACAAATGTCATTTTTAAAATCGAATCTCATAATAGCCGGGAAAGTTACGCAACTCGTTGCTAGATTTTTTATTTTATTTTAATTTTTTGTTGTATTTATTTTCATTTAATTTTAACTTCGTCCGCTAGTTTTCCTAGTTGTCTAGCAAAGTATTATCAGTTGAATAATGCTGAGAATAGTCTTAGCTCGGCCCAGTAAGCCACTCAGAATTCTGACTTAGTGTTTGGAATACAACCCAGTATCAACACTCGTAGAAAAAATGGAAACAAATATACTAATCATGCTACACCGTACATAAACTAGTGCTGGAAAAGTTATAAGGTGTAGTGTGAATGGTATATCTATCAACTGTTGGTCTATTGGCAACAACTCTGCCGCTGACAAGGGTAGCTGCATCACAAGTGTGCACAAACTTATTCAGAATTACTTTAGACAAAAGGCCAAAATGTATACCAAGTGTTATTAAATTTAGAATTGAATGTCACGCTATGACTGACATTATGTTGGACAAGAGTTTGTATTAGAAGAGAAAGTGGTACAATCAGTAGTTACAGGCCCAGACTTTAATTTTATGAGGAAAATTGAAGTTAAGTTTATTACATCCAAGTCATAAAAGCTTAAACTGCTGCTGTACCATCAATGTGTCTCATATTATTACTAGGAGTGATCATCATACAAGACGATTCTCCAGATCATTGGTGGAGACAGTGTTCCAGTTAACAGTACAGGTGAGATTGAAGCATTCGTTGGTGGTCTTTCAGTAGACTCCCTTTCCAAATAGAATCTGAATTCCTTGCTAAAGACGACATGCTACAAATTTCTATGTGGCCAGGGCCATGCAGTAGATTTTCTCGGTGTGATGCAAATCTTCGAAATGCCGCCCCATAAATGTTTTTAAAATAACCTTCGATTGTGATTTAAAAAAGAAAAAAACTGCACAAATTGTACGAATACTATTTTTATTTTGAAAATATAAACTACTTTAATGATATCAAGTATTAACCAACTACAACAATTTACTAGTTTTACCCTTCGGACTTTAACTTTAGCAAATTCGTTAATTAGGGATGTGTAATCTAGAGTGGCAGCCAATGTATTTTCAATAAAAATTAATGATAGATTTCTACATTTTGTTTGGCTTATTGAACTTCTTAAGTAGTGTTTTATTAATCTTAATTTGGAAAAACTTCTTTCCCCACTAGCTACAGAGACAGGGAGTGTTAATAAAATTCTCAGAGCTACAACAGTATTTGGATACAAAGTACAGTAAGACCCCGCTTAACGCTGATTCGATATAACCCAATTTGATGAAAGAGCCATTCTGCTTTCCTCAGCCAAAATAATGTGGTCTTTCTCAAACTTCATCAGCTGTATGTAATGTCTTTGCATTATACAAGCATTCTGATGTTCAAAGACCTCCAACAACAGATATACTGAAAATTTATGGTCATCAAATCTTGACCTTTTTATAAAAATAACCATTTTAAACAGAGCCGTAACTAGGATTTTGGACGCCTATGGCCAAGAATAAAAATGGTGCCTTTTTAATTTTATTATTAAAAAAATAATAATTTTATTCTAAAAAAATGCTATTATAAAAAAATTATCTAATTACATTTAAATACTATATAAATGTAAAAAATTTTGTGTTATTAGTGAGGTTGAGGTAGAAGTGTACGTCGGACGTTCAGCGCTGCTTTCCTGTAATCCTAGAAGTTTGACAATGGTGTTTGGATAGTCAGTGGAATCATGCTCAACATTCCAAACACCACTCTCAAACTTCTAGGCTTACAGGAAAGCGGCGCTGAACGTCCGACGTACACGTTTTGACGTTTAAAACTTCGGCCTCAACCTCGCTATTAATTTCGAATGCATATTATTTCGAAACCTTCTCGTTGGCGCCTTTATTAAATTGGCCATACCCTAGTTACGGCTCTGGTTTTAAGATACTGGTGGCATTATCTGATGTTCAATTGGACCACAACTATAGTCATTTAAATACGTGTCTGAGATGTATGCTAGGTTTTGCAGTAACTGAGCAATCATCTGGATGTAAAAGTTTTTGTCGACAAGTTTATATTAAAAAGACAGAAATGGAGCAAGTGTAATAGAAGAACAAGAGAGACAATAGACAAACAAGTCCATAAAGATTGTTGTATATCCATGAAAGTAAACATTTAGGGAGAGGGAAAAAAATTCACTGATAGTCTAGTCAACTCATACTAAATATAATTTTGTAGTAAAACCATCATCTGCTTTAGTTCAATGTCTGAGTATAGAAACTATCACATGCAGTGCTAGCTTAATGCTAACTTACACCTTTTGCTGCCTCTGTTTCTAGCATGATTGCCAATAGAGAGCACTCCTAGTGCTGGCACAATTTATACAAACAATACATTCACCATATTCAACTTATCTTTTTCTCCTTTTGAACATTTGTGGGTGGGAATTATCTGCTAAAAGTAAACACAGACCATTCAAACAAAATATTTTTATTTGGTAAATTAGGCCAGGACCAAGGAGGTGTTATTGGTCTTTAGTGTCTTCTGGGATATCGTCATCCTGAATCAGTGTATTGTGGAGTCTCATCAAGCCTTTGAAGTACTTGACCGTCTTGACTCTCAGCTCCAGAGTGGCATCTTCATCGCATACAAAGATAGTCCGAGGGTGTAATTGGAACGCTGATACTGTCCACATATGATTCACTCCCTCTTCTATAGCTTTGTACAGAGCAAAGGCCTTGTGAGCCCCCGTAATCAATATCATCACCTACAAAGACAAAAAGATGCATTATGTAATATTGATGACTACTTCCAGAACTTTAATTTAATAAATACGCAAATTCTGGAATGAGATGGATTAATATACTAAAAATTTTTTGCGTCTGTAATCCATCTCATCCTCAACCAAACATCTAGCATATACAGTTTATGGGAGAGAATACCTCTTTGGCATCCATGACGGTTCCAACACCAACTGTCAATGCTTCGTGTGGAACTTTAGTAAGGTCATTGCCAAAGAATCTAGCATTGGCCAGGATAGTGTCCATAGCTAAAGTTTTGACTCTTGTTCTAGATGACAGACTGGATCCTGGTTCATTGAAGGCAATGTGTCCATCAGGTCCAATGCCTGTGATTCATGTAACAAAAGAGCATTATAAACATATTGAGAATATTACACA